CGGGTTGTAATGTGACTTATACCGTTAAATTCCCTTACCTGAATAGCAGGCAATCTATACAAACATTTAGCTCCAGCATTCAAGCCTGTCTTTATACACAATCGAGGATTGCCTACTTTGTAAGCCGCTTGTATTTGAAGAAACCCACAACATGTCCGAAACATCGGCGCCATTTTGCTTCCGCCATTGATTCCGATGAACATTGGCCTCGTGATCCCGTGACAGGTAAAACACGTCACGGTTGTGTTCGTGATGCGGTATATGCGTGATGGGTCCCGTGACGCATCTGCGTATACGGACGCGTATACGTGCATTTCAACCAGTGGCCATGGTGATGATCGTGAATGCGTTAGTTTTTCCCGTGAAATGTGAAATGACTGTTTTTTTCCCTTGTGAATCGTAATTCCTCTAATAATCCGTCCTCGATTTTCACAAATTAATTTTCCCTTCACCAAGCAACACGATAGCGTCAAAATCTGTGAAAATTTTTATTTCAGAAAGTCCATGGGATCGAGGTTGCGTTACGTGGGGTAGGTAGGTGTTCTTTGATTGCCAAATTCCGTGTGTCTTGCGTCCGTTTGAACAATAACTGAGTTGAGTTCGTCGAGAAAAGTAACTGTTAAAATGTGGTAGGACCCGGGGGTAGGACACGGAGTTTGTCACTCCCGAGGTGTCACTGCATTTCGGAGTGTTCTCCACCCTACCCCAGCTAGTTAGGCTCGATTTCCGCCGCTTTCTCGAGTCCGATCTATACGTTCCCCCCGAGAAGTTCGGGGGAGGAGCGCGGGCTCTTTTCCCGAACAGCGGCTGGTAATGGAGCCTACCAGCTAGTTCCATCCGGGAAAACACTGAGTTCTAGTGTAGTCTCAGTCAGTAATGGCGTCTTCGATGTGATTTGTAGTCGACTCGTTGTCGCTGGTCTATTGCTGATTCATTAAGGTAAGAGAGTCTATAAAGATGCTTTTTACATGTCAAGTTAATGTAAATAATACTGGGTCACCTCTTTTCATCTCACGGAATGGAAGAAAATAGTGTGAACCAATGTTTTTTGTATTTTGTCAAAGACAGTAATGTGTGTTCTGAACTATTGGTGGGTGGCTTATTTGGATATTTTGGGGAATTTGGAGACGAAATTGACTTTGTTGTTGTTATTGAACGTTCAACAAAGCAAATGACTTTATGGTGAATTAATCAGCTATAATCATTTTACTTTGATCATATTCACCTAAACCTTATCAGACGTTGTGGACATTTTGCACTGGTGTAACAACTTCAGCTGTCAGGGCTCGAAATTGCGACTCACTGGTCGCCAATGCGACCAAAAATTCAGCACTGGCGACTAAATTTTC